TACAATTGGGTGTGGAAAAACGAGTATACGCCAAGTAGATGGAGGGAAGGAGTGGTTGTGAACTTGTTTAAGAAAGGAGACAAGACTGGCCCAGAAAACTACAGGAGGATCACACTGTTGAACACAGTAGGAAAAGTGTTGTGTAAGCTGCTGAACGATAGGATAGTGGGAGTATTGGAGAAGGAACATGGCATTAGTGAGGCCCAGGGAGGTTTCCGAAGGAAGAGGGGGTGCGTAGACCACGTATTCACAGTAGGGAGAATCATCCAAGGTAGAAAGCTGTCTCTTATACACATCTAGATGTGTATAAGAGACAGNCATAGCATTAGTGAGGGCCAGGCAGGTTTCCGCAAGAAGAGGGGGTGCGTAGACCACGTGTTCACGGTAGGGAGAATCATCCAAGGTAGAAAGAGGGCGGGAAAGCCGACGTACTGCTTCTTCCTGGACGTGAAAAAGGCATACGACACCGTATGGAGAAATGGGTTGTGGAAACAACTGTCCAAATACGGGATCAAGGAGGAAATGTGGAGAGTGCTGATGACAGAGTGTACGAAAAGCGCGGTCATGCTAGACGGCGAACTGTCTAAATTCTTCGACATTGAGCAGGGGGCCCCACAAGGTTGCACGCTGTCCCCAACATTGTTCCAGGTGTTCATCAACGATCTGTTGGAAGTCGTAGAGGCNTCGTAGAAAAAATCTGAGACCGGTTTTGGGCTCTGCAGGACGGAAACAGCGCAAAAAAAAATCCTAAAAAAAAAAAAAACAAGTGAAGGGCCCGAAATGGCCAGAAAAATATGCGGCTGAACCAAGTTCGGCGGTTCCCGCTTCGAACCATGACTTGAGGACCACGGCAATCGACTCCGCTTGGTCGAAATAGATACAGTAGAGGACACAACTTCCGTGGTCGCCCGACTCAAACTCCAAGAGTTACGGCCCTGTTGACTTAGCCGGGTGGGGGCCATGCCGTCGCTGGAACGCTGCAGGACAACAGCAGTATTGCTTCCTTTGTTACTGCCGCTGGTGTACAGTGTTTTGTAGTTTGAAGGTGTTTGCTGCTGTTGTTATTATATGGTGTGTCGCACAGAAGTTGTCCTAAGCTTGTCTACGGAGTGCGGTGGGTAAATCGTCTGCTGTGAGTACCGTAGTCATGCTGGGGTACCACAATATGTGTGTCCATTTTTTTTTAATGTATTTTAGACCAATTCATTGTATATAATTTACATATTTTTGGCCCCTAATGTATATGTGAAGACACGAAATACCCCCTACTCTAACCCACACTCAACATTCGGCCTTTTCCGCCGTCATGTGTGTCGAAAAGCCGCCGCAAAAGCGCTTTAAAACGGGCGAAAAATGGCGAATACAAGGGGGGCCCCGCAGAGTGGATATTTTCCCCCCCTCTCTGGTTGCGTACCCCCCCCATACTAACTCCAAGACGAAAACAAACAACCTGTCAGACAGCACCCTTCCCGACCCTTGCCGTAAAATCTGACCAGCGGAATCGTTTCCTTGTGGGCAGAGGCGTCTAGAACCATCTTTGTTGGAGCTTAGCGGGGTTGGCAACACCCTGAACCCAAACGACGGGCACTCGATCTCGGAACCCGCACAAGGATTACCTACATGGACCAATGGATGCAGAAACAAAGCTTAAGGTCAATTTCAGGACCGGGGATATAGGCCTTCGAGAACGTCGACAAAGACATNTCATGTAGTCGCGGAATGTCCGTTGTACAAGAAGGAGAGAGAAGTGTACGTGACTGAGCTGGGAAAAATAGATGGGATGTACAGGGATATGTTTGAGGCATGGAATAGAGAGGAAAGGACGGTAGCTGTA